TCTGAAAGCAGCCCAAGTGTCCATCAGTAGATAGGTGGATAAAAAAGCTATGGCACATTCACTCAATGGGATGCTACTCAGCCATGGAAAAGGAAATCTTAACTTTCGCAGCAGCATGGATGGACCTAGGGAACATTATGCCATGTGAAATAAGCCAGTCAGAGAAGACAGCTACCATATGATTTCACTTACATGTGGAATCTAACAAACAATAGAAACAGCCCCCCAGACAGAGATCAGACTGACAGCTGTCAGAGGGGAGAGGGGTTGCAGTGCTGGTGAAAAAGGTGAAGAGATTAAGCCAAGAAAAGAAACACACTCAAACACAGACTTCAGTGTGGTGGTCACCAGAGAAAGGGGATAGGGGAGGCAGAAGACAGTAAAGGGAGGACAAATGGTGATGGAAGGAGACTTGACTTACAGTGTGAACACATAACACAATATACGGATGATGTAGTACAGACTTGTATACCCGAAACCTATATAATTGTATTACCCAATAAATTCAATAAAACATTCCTTTAAAGGAGCATGCAGAAGAAATCATAAAAGAAAAATAAAAAGGCCAGTGTGGCCACATGAAAATGTCACAAAGGTAATTCCAGCTATAATGTGGAGAACAGATGGCTGGGGAGGGGGTGGGGGTGGGAGTGGGGGATGCTAAAGGCAGAGAGACCAGTCACACCAGGGGGCAGACCCAGAAGTCCCAGGAGCCAGACAAGATCCGGCTGGGGCAGGGAGGAGAGGGGGGATTTCAGGTAATGAGGAGAGCCTGACACTGCCCAGTAACTTTCGTTTGTGGGTGAAGAAGTGGAGAATCTCAGTCACCGCTCTGCTGTGTCCCCTTCCCAGTTCTTGTGGGGAAGGAGGGAGAACCAGAACCGTGGTTGAGTATCCCGAGGCAGCGGAATCCCACGGAGAGGGGAAGTGCTGGTGGCCAGTCCCGCCAGCAGCCACCACTGCTGATCTTCGAGAGCTATGGCAGCTGCCAGGTAAGTCTGGATCTGGAGTTCTCTACTCAGCAGATCCACCCACTGCCGCTTCCTCTGGCCAGACTGTTGGAAATACAAAGCCCAGAACAGTTCTGAGCCATGGCGGCCGCCTCTGCTCCAGCTGTTCCCTCTCTCAGCCAGGCAACATCTAAAAGGCTTCCCAAGGAGCCCTGGCCTCTCAGTCCTCCCAGGAACTGAGCCTCTCTCTCTATCCCTCTGCTGACCCTTCTGTTCCCGCCCCCAGGCCGAGGTTCCCAGATGGTCTCATCTACCCCCACATCTCCTCCTTCCCAAGCTCCGGGATGAGTACCCATGGGTCCCTCAAAGCTCCTGGTGAGGCTAGAAGTGGGGATGGGTCAGATGCACATCTCCTCTGCTGCCACAGTCACCTCTCTCTGCCGCTGCTCCAACATGAATGTCCAACTCGGACTCCCCCATGAGGAGCCCTCTGTCCGCAAGGACTTGGCTCCCCTTTTATAAGTGCCACAGATCCCTGTAGCCTCCTGTCAAACTAGCCTCCCGTTAGCTTGCGAGTCTCTGAAGGGCAGAAACCACGCCACCTACTTCTTGAACGCCCCCCCTGCTTATTCTCAGACCCAATCTGCACTGCCTCCCTGCTCCAGTCTTTTGAGGGCCTCCTGGGGGGACCTCATGACCGGCTGCCTCTTCTGCCAATCCACACACCCAGAGCCCTGACTGCACAGCAGGCCCTGTGCCAAGAGCTGCTGAACTGTCTGCCATTCAGAGAAAAGGTACCGAGTTCACCAGAAAAAATGAACTCCGTCTAAGCCTTAAAAATCTCACAGGAGGCCCTAGCCGGTTTGGCTCAGTAGATACAACATTGGCATGGGGACTGAACGGTCCCAGGTTCAATTCCAGTCAAGGGCACATGCCCGGATTGCGGGCTCAATCCCCAGTAGGGGGCGTGCAGGAGGCAGCTGATTAATGATTCTCATCATTGATGTTTCTCTCTCTCCCCCCCCCCTCCTTTCCTATCTGAAATCAATATGTGTGTGTGTGTGTGTGGAGAGAGAGAGAGAGAGAGAGAGAGAGACAGAGAGAGAGATATCTCACAGAAGTCACACCTCTGTAAGTGGTAAGTGACCTGATCAAAGGTGTGTAAAAACAGGTCACTTACCACTTACAGAGGCTGCTGATGGGAGTGGGAACGTGGGGCAACTTGGCAGGACCAATCACCACTTTATAAACACATCTATTCTGCTGTTCCTCCTCCCGTTCACTCCACTTACATTCATACAGGGCCATATGCACATCCACCGCAGCCACGGCTCCCGGGGAAAATCGGAACCAAGCTAAAAGTCCATCAGCAGGGTTAAACTCAATGAGCTATGGTGCAAGCATCCAACGGACCACAGTTGTCAAAAGCGATAAAAAGCTCTCTGTGCTGATGTGAAAGGAACACCAAGGCATGAGTGTGTGGGGGAAAAAAATCACAAAATGATACATATAAAGTGGTTTTTTTATAGCAATAATAGCTGGGGAGGGGGGGAGAGGGACAAAGGGGACTTTCCCCGTTCATTCACACAGTGTGCACACACACATGTAAGATCTCTGAATTTTACTAATGTACCAGGACGGAAGTACAAAGTGGTGCTGGAGCCAAGACCCGGACAGCATAACTGGGTGCTTCCCACACACCCTCTCCAACTGCCAGAAGGCACCAGGGAGGGAATCAGCACAGCTTTCCTCTCCTTGGTCTCGAAGATGAGCAGGTGGCGGCGGCATGGCGTCCCAGAGACCAAGGTCCAAGCCCCACTCTGCTGTGTCTGTCTGGATGACTCTGGAAGGCCACTGAGCTTGCCATTTGTTTTTTAAAAAAATATATATTTTATTGATTTTTTACAGAGAGGAAGGGAGAGAGAGAGAGAGCTAGAAACGTCAATGAGAGAGAAACATCGACCAGCTGCCTCTTGCACACCCCCTACCGGGGATATGCCCTCAACCAATGTACATGCCCTTACCGGAATCGAACCCGGGACCTTTCAGTCCGCAGGCCGACGCTCTACCACTGAGCCAAACCGGCTTCGGCGAGCTTGCCCATTTGTACTGGACAGAGGACGGGAACATGGGGTTGAAAACAGACTGACCATCCCCGCCCCCCACAGGCTGTGATCCTAGATTAATCACGGACCCTCTCAGTCTCCGTTTCCACTTATCATTTCAAAAAGGGGCGAGGAGATAATGTCACTTACCCTCCAGGAGGTTGCAGGGATTAAATGACATCATACATATATAAACCGTTCAATACATCGCCTGGTACATAACATGTGCTCAGCAAACAGCAGCTGCTACCTTACTGCTGAGGGAGGGTAAGGACGCCGGCTCTGCCTACAGAACGTGTGTATGCATGATCTAGGGAGCTGCATGCTGGGAAAGGGTGCGGGAGAGAGTGGGACACAGTGAGGGGCACTTACACAAGGATTCCTCTCCCTCCCCGAGCCTCGGCTACCAAACAGCTAAGATCCCTAGTGGGAGAACCGTGGGTTGCTGTCCATAGTCATCCTATGGACAAAATTTGCATCAGTTTTCTTTTAAAGTATTTTTTGCTGATTTCAGAGAGGAAGGGAGAGGGAGAGAGAGGTTGAAACATCAATGATGAGAATCATTGATCGGCTGCCTCCTGCACGCCCCCCACTGGGGACTGAGCCTGCAACCCCCGCCTGTGCCCTGACCGGGAATCAAACCATGACCCTCTGGTTCATAGATCGAAGATCAACCACTGACCCACACCAGCCAGGCTCCAATCAGTTATTAATTTGGGTCCCCACCTCACACAGATGGGAATGGCACATCAGAAGGAGAAAGATGGGCGCTCGCTGGAAGAAGATATGACACCCCAGCTGAGGAACCCGAGACTCCCCTCAACTCATCACCGGACCCCTTCAGACCCTCACAACCCCGATGCCCGGCTCCTGGGGACCCTCTGCAAGTGGACCCACACTTCTCAGTCACAAAATCCAGCCCAGCTCCTCAGACTTCCAAACACCATCTCAGGGCACATTCCTCTGCCAGCTACTCCACACACCACGGGGTCCTTTCCCATAGCGCCCACAAACACGGCTCCCCTCGGGATCCTTCTGAGATGCTTCTTCCCGCTGCCTCCCTGCTCTACAAAACGCTCCCTTACCATCCCGAGGGGACGGACGGACCCCGGATTCCCCCTCACTCTCCCCTTCCCAGGTCCCCTGGGCTCCACGATGGGCATCATGCCTGCCCCCCACTCCAGGTCAGGGTTCTCCCATCTCCGGGCCACCCCTCCCCGCACCCCCGCCTGGGGTTTCTGCTCTCAAGCTCTTCCACACAGACATTGACATTACAACTTCGGGACAACTTCCCTACACTCCACAGCCGCACACGCCGGGGCTCCCCAAGTTTCTTCCCCAATGAGGAGGGCACACACCATCATCCTGGAACCCCTCCAGGCCCCCCCTCCCCGCCCCGTGATCCCGGGAGTCCTCCCACAGCCATCTTTCCGTTCCCTCCGTCCGAACACTCCGAAACGCCCCGCGTCCCGGGCTCCGCGACTTCCTCTCCCCATCCCCGCCCGATCGCCCCGGGCGCCCTCGCCCTCCGCGGGCCCCCCGGGCCCCCCGACGCCCCATCTCCCGCCCGCAGCCCGTCCCGCTCCGCCTCCCACCCGCCCCGGCCCGGACGGGGTGGGCGTCCCCCGGCGCCCGGCGCTTCTGCTCGCACCCGGGCACAGAGCCCCTCCAGCAGCCCCTCCCAGCACCGCGGCCGAGTTCTCCCTCCGGGCCCCGGGGGAGGGCCCCGGGCCCCGCCGCCGTCCGCTCCCGCCCGCGGCCCCTCCGGCGGGTCCGGTCCCGGCGCCCCTTCCCCGCCGCGGCCGGCGCCCCGCCCCGGGGCCCACGCCCACCCCGCGGAGCCTCGGGGCCCCGGGACCCTCTCGGGCGGCCCCCCACTCCCGCCGCGGGCCGGTCGCGGTCCCCGCCCGCCGCGCCCCCCCCCCCCCCGGCCGTCCCGGCTGCCATTGCTCCAAGATGGCGGCGGCGGCGGCGGCGGCGGGTGAGGCCGGGCCGGGCCGGGCCAGGCCGGGCGGGGGGTGGGGGGTGGGGGTCCGGGGGCGCTCACCTGCAGCTCGGCGCGCTCGGCCTCCCAGCGGGCCTTCTCCGCCTCGAAGCGCGCCCACTCATGCTGGATAAAGTGCAGGATGCCCGGCAGGCTCAGGGGCTCCGGCCCCGCCGCGGCGGGCCCCGGGCTGCCCCCGCCGCCGCCGCCCCCCTTAGCGGCCGGGCCGGGGCCGGGGCCGGGGCCGGGAGCGGGGGCGGAGGCCGGGACGGCGGCCGTCGGGCCGGGGCCCGCGCCGGAGCCGAGCGGGCGGCAGGGGGAGGCGGCGGCGGCGACGGCGGCGGCCGCTCGCTCCTCCATCATGGAGGCCCCGGGCCGGCCCGCGCGCCGCTGTACCTCGCGCGCCTGCGCGGCCGCGCCAACCCCCCGCGCGCGCGCCCGGCGGGGGCGGGGGGCGGGGCCGGGGGCGCGGCCGGGCGCGCGCCTCGGGTGGGCGGGCAGGGGGCGCGCGCCCCGAGGACGGGGAGCGGGGCTCTTTGGGGAGGAGACGCTCTCGGGCCCCCTCCTCCCGCTTACACCCCTGCGGACCCCTGGTCACTCTGCTCCGTGAGGAAGGGCGACCACCCCGGGCGGCTTCCGCCGGGGCCCCATCCTCAGGGATCCTGCGGGCCCAGGTGGGTTGCCCTGGTAACTCCTCCCCAGCCTAGCACACAAAACAGCTTCTCCTCTCCTCCTCTTTTGTGGTTATGGGGCCCCAGACCTCTCCTGTCCCTACACCGGGAGGAGGTTGCCAAGGTAACCTAAGTCCCTGATGGTCCTCCTGCCCCTATCCTGGTTGGTTACTATGGCAACCTCAACTAGCACTCAGGTAGAAAGGACCTCAGCCCCAAGGACACTGATTAATTATTGAGGGAAACACCTCTTTCCCAACCCCACCCCCTCCTAACCACCCAGTTGGCATTACCATGGTAACCAGCTCCCCTCCTTTCCCAAGGTGGGAGGTCCATGGACCACACCAACCAGGTATTTTTATTGAGAGGAGAAGATGCTCTGCTGAGGAGTAGTTGCTATGGTTACAAGGCCTGACCCTCCCCAGGGAGGCAAGATAGGCAAGGCTAAGCCCTGGTTACTATGGTAACAGAGGCATCCTCCCTTCGAGGGACCCCAGGAACCAGACCCGGGAAAGTAGACGTTTTTTAGGATTGTCTCAGGATGGAGTGTGTCTAGGGAAGTGGGTGTCATAGTAACGGCTTCTGTCACTCCCAGCCCCACCTTTCTGGACACAGTCCTGAGTCAGGGATGGTTATAGGTTGCTATGATAACTGGCATTTTCCCCACCCATTCCTGAGATGCTCCAGGTCGTGTCTGAACTTATTAGGACTTCAAGAAAGATGATTCCCTGGCCTCATTGCCATTTTTATAGGTAAGGTGAAATTGTGCTGTACTGTGCAAAATTGGCTGATTTGGTATTTTCTGGTTCTCCTTCCCTCAGCAGTGCAGCTGAGCAAGGCTGAAACCGCCCCCCTGAAGCTCCCCCAGCCTGCAACGTAGGAGGTAAGAAGTCTCTCAGTAGCACCCGTACTCATGTGCACACTGCCCTTTCCTTGTTCCCACATATCCTCTTTACCCGTCGCATACCCATTCCACAGATGCAGCAACTGAGGCTCAGGCCAGGTCAGAGCTCAGACTGGGTGAGCCCAGACCTGAAGTGCTCCACTTACACTGTTTGGAGGGGAATGAGAGACAGAGTCTCATCTTGTCTTCTCCTTCCCTGGCTACTTTTTCTATAGCAAGCCTCTGTATTTCTCTGCCACGGCCCTGCTGGTTTTCCTCCCCTTTGGGATACTGTTTTCCTGCCCTACCCCTGGAGCGCCTGCTCAGTGACTGCCCAGTTCACCCCCTGGCCCTGAAGCACAAGGCCTGCCACAGAGGACGCTCAGTAAGTAGCGTTGTTGAGGCAGTGAGTTGCCTTCATTAATGCGCCATATTTGAAAGCTCTGGTCATGTTAGAGCCAGGGAGGCTCATGGAAGGTAGGCCCAAGAGAGACAGAATTGATTTCATTAAAGCACAACTCTAGCCCTAACCAGTTTGACTCAGTGGATAGAGCGTCGGCCGGCGGACTCAGGGCTCCCAGGTTCGATTCCGGTCAAGGGCATGTACCTTGGTTGTGGGCACATTTCCAGTAGAAGGTGTGCACGAGGCAGCTGATCGATTTTTCTCTCTCATTGGTGTTTCTAACTCTCTCTCCCTCTCCCTTCCTCTCTGTAAAAAAATCAATAAAATGTATTTAAAAAAATAAAACAAAGCACAACTCTGGAGCCAGCTTCTTTAAAAAAACAACAACATATTTTTATTATTAATTTCAGAGAGGAAGGGAGAGGGAGAGATTGGTAGAAACATCAATGATGAGAGAGAATCATTGATCGGCTGCCTCCTGCATGCCCCACACTGGGGTTCGAGCCTAAAACCCAGGCATGTGCCCTGATTGGGAATTGAACCGTGACCTCCTGGCTCATAGGTCGACACTCAACCACTGAGCCATGCAGGCCGGGCTGGAGCCAGCTTCTTGGGTCAAATTCAGGGTCCATCACTTTCCAGCTGTGTGACCTTGAGCAAGCGACTCCACCTCTCCTTGCCTCGGTTTCTTCATCTTTAAGTGTGATCATAACTTAAAGAGTAAACAAGTTCATATGTGTGAAGTACTTAGAATAGAGTCTGTCACATCCGGAGCATCTAGAACATTCAGACCTGCAAAAGTCAGAATTTCATCCACCTATCTCAATGAAGGGGTTTTGAACCCTTACAGTTCAAGAAGCCGAGACTTGATCTTACGAAGGTACCAGAGGATTCCTTTCTCCTTCCTCGTTGGTCCCCTCACCCAGTAGGTTACCACCTCATCAAGCCATCCTACCTCTGGTCTCCGAGGACCCAGTTCCTGTCCTCTGTTCCACTGGTACTTCCTGGCTGGGAAGCAGCCAGAGCATGGACGGCAGAGAACCGAGTTCTGGTCCCTGCATCCTTTAAGCCTCTGAGCCACAGATTCCCTGTCTGAACAGGTGGAGTCACTTGAGCATTGCACCTGTTTATTATTATATTGTTCTGTGCCAGACCCTGAGCTGTGCTCTGGGCATACAGCAGGGAACAAAACAGACAAAATCATAAACAAGTAAACATTTATGTGATAACCACCAGGGGAGAAAAATAACTCAGGAAAGGGGCAGAGAAAGTATGTGAGTGACAGGGAGATGCATCTTTTAAATTTTAATTAAGCCCTAACCGGTTTGGCTCAGTGGATAGAGCGTCGGCCTGCGGACTGAAGGGTCCCGGGTTCGATTCCGGGCAAGGGCATGTACCTTGGTTGCGGGCACATCCCCAGTGGGGGGCGTGCAAGAGGCAGCTGATCGATGATGATTCTCTCTCATCGATCTTTCTAACTCTCTCTCTCTTCCTCTCTGAAAAAAAAAAATCAATAAAATGTATTTTAAATAGGGTAGCTAGCCAAAGGAAGGGCTCACTGGTCAGGTGACATCTGAGCAAAGTCCTGCCGGCCATGGGGTGGAGTCAGGCCTCGGGCAGAGGGAATAGCCGGTGCTGCGGCAGGACCCGCCCGGGTTTATGTGAAGAATGGCATTTGGTGGCGCTGAGGGAGCGGGTGGAAGCAGAAGGGTGATCTGTCTTAGGGCTCCGGGAAAGGGTTCGAACAGAGGCAGGACAGGATCTAACTCAGGCTCTGGCAGGATCTCTCTGGCCTCCGAGTGACCAACAGACTGTAGGGGGGCCAGGGTGTAGTGAGGATGCTCTCTCTAGAAGGTTCCAAAAGCATTGCCTGTGCTTCCGTGGACCCAAGCTCTGAGGCTCTGAGACGTGTAAGACTCTGAAGATTCTGTATTCCAAAATCTCCTTCCGCCCACAGTCATGTGTTCCATGAGGTCACGGGTGTTGTGTGTCTGTGTGTTGCGTGTCCACTGCGGTGTCCCTGGTCCTAGAGCAGGGCCTGGCATGTGGTAGGGGTTCCACAAGCCGCTGCTGAAGGGCTGAGAGGAGGGATCCGCCACAGGTCCAGAGGGAATGCCAAGATCCTAAAGTTCAAGAAGTCACTCTTAAAGTGCAGCTCCGATTCTTAGGGAACATCTAAGCCGGGTCAGGAAAGGGCAAGCAGGTCTGGGAGGGGTGGAGGGGGTGGAAGGACGTTCCTGGCAGGAGAGACGGGAAGACCAGTGCAGGGCCCGGCTCCAGGGACCTGGAGGAGCTTAGTAGACACAAACCCTGACCCTGGCCATCATTTTCTCGCCTCATGCCCGGCTGTGTGCCAGGCACCCACAGTGGTCATGGAGACCGCCCTGGCCCTACCCTCCTGGGTCCTGTGGGGCACACAGACTCAGCCCCAGACAGCACTGAACCGGAACAGGCAGGGCAGGGCTGGGGGAGCCCCCAGGACGTCTGAGCCAGGCTGGGGTTCAGAGAGGGCTTCCTGGAGGAGGGGCCATTGGAGCTGTGCCCTGAGGCATGAGTAGGAGTCCTCCAGCAGAAAACGGGCACAGGGAAAGGGGTGTTTGAGAGGAGACTGTCCTGGGCAGAAGGAACAGAATAGGAAAAAGCTTAGGAAAAAGACTTCTTTGAAGAAGAGCCTCAGGCGGCTCAGGCATAGGGTTGGAGAGGGTGTGGTCAGAGGTGGTGCTAGACCAGGGTGTGAGGTGTGAGGGGTTGGGGGGGGGGTGGGGGAGGCAGGGCCAGGTCCCAGGTGGCCTTGTGGGATATTGTAAGAAAGGCAAACTTTCTCTCTAGGGCAGTGAGGAGCCTCCGAGCAGGGAGGGGGAGGGCACATTTGTGCCTTTAGAAGACCTCTCTGGCTGCCACCAGGAGGGGACTTGGTCCGCAGACTGAATGGGGATCTGGGTGGCCCCCAGCTGAGGGGGGGTTGTGGGGATGGGGGAGGAACAGAAGTGTTGAGGAGCCAGGAAGATCAGCCGATCAGCTGGGTTGCCGATGCCTGCCTCCCTGGGAGGAGGAGAAAGCTATAAAAATCCACGGGGACTTTTTTTTAAGTAACTGCTGAGAACCCAGAGTTAGTTACACCTCCGCGGCTGGAGTCCAGCCAAAGCTTCCAGTCAGCCTGGGGCCAGGGAGACAGCGCCACCTGGCGGTTGCTTAGGAGTGTGGCCAATGAATGGGGAGTCCTAAGACTGGCAGCCTCTTTCAATGCAGCCCATTCCATTTAAAACAAAAACATTAAAAAACACACACACAAAAAAAAACTAAACACACATTTAAAAAATATATATTTTTTACAGAGAGGAAGGGAGAGAGATAGAGAGTTAGAAATATTGATGAGAGAGAAACATCCATCAGCTGCCTCCTACACACACCCCCACTGGGGATGTGCCCGCAACCAAGGTACATGCCCTTGACCAGAATCGAACCTGGGACCCTTCAGTCAGCAGGCTGAGGCTCTATCCACTGAGCCAAACTGGCCAAGGCAAAACAAAAACATTTTTATTGTGATAAAACACACATAAAACTCATCATCTTAACAGTTTGTAAGCGTATGGTTCAGTAGTATTAAGTATATTCGCATTTTGGGCAAACGATCTCCAGAACTACCCTGTTTCCCTGAAAAGAAGACAGTGTCTTATATTAATTTTTTCTCCCAAAGTTGTGCTAGAGCTTATTTTCCTGGGACATCTTATCTTTCCATGCGCTAGGTCTTATTTTCGGAGGATGTCTTATTTTCGGGGAAACACGGTATTTTATCTTGCAAAACTGCAACTCTAAACCATTAAACAACTCTCCAGTTCCCCCTTCTGCCAGCCCCTAACAGCCACCATTCTACTTACCTTTTTTTTAATGTATATATTTTCTTGATTTTTACAATAAAATAAGTACATTTTATTAGAGAAAGGGAAAGGGATAGAGAGTTAGAAACATCGATGAGAGAGAAACATCAATCAATTGCCTCCTGCACACCCCCTATTGGTACATGCCCTTGATCAGAATCGGACCTGGGACCTACTTCTCATTTCTAATTAAAAAAACAACAACAAACTAGTGGCCAACCTACAAATTGGGATAATTCTGACTTAAGAAAACATTTCTGCCGGGACCGGTTTGGCTCAATGGATAGAGCGTCGGCTTGGGGACTGAAAGGTCCCGGGTTCGATTCCGGTCAAGGGCATGTACCTTGGTTGTGGGCATATCCCCAGTGGGGGGTGTGCAAGAGGCAGCTGATCGATGACTCTCTCTCATCGATGTTTCTAACTCTCTATCTCTCTCCCTTCCTCTCTGTATAAAATCAATAAAATATATTTTTTAAAAAGTTAAAAAAAGGAAAACATTTCTAACGTTTTTTGTAAAACCAAAACAAGCTGGCTGACCATCCAGAAGGAGATGACCGGTTGGCAGGGCTTGAGGAAGTGAGAAGGGGCAGCCGGGGAGGGACTTGAGGGCCAGGCTGAGGGCATCGGCCTCGCCCTGGGGCCAGGGATGGGGTATGGAAGGGACGGGAGATCAGGGGTGGCTTCCTGGAGGAAGGGACGGTAGAGCAGAAAGTACAAGCTGGGCTTGGGGTTGGGGTCTGGGGTGTTTATAACTGAACCCAAACATGAACGAGAAGTTAGCAACGAGTAGAAGGGCGGGATGGAACAGGAGGAGAAGGGAAGGTGACTCCTTTGATAAAATCTCAGTACCTAATGGTACCTGGCTCTGCCGAGTGGCCTTGGGGACCCAGCAGTGACAAGACAGGCTCCCCCTGGGTCTCACAAGTGGGAGGACAGGGTGGGTTTCTGTATGGCAATGGCTTAGAATGGCGGGGCTGGGGGGTGGGGGTGGGGGTGGGGGCACGGGAGGGAGGGCTTCCTGGAGGCCCGAGGTCAGAGCTGCAACCAAGTAAGAGAAAGGCTGGGAGGAAGGGCCAGGCTCGGGCTGCAGGGGTTGCTGACAGCCAGCTCCAGCCTCCCCTTTCCTTCCCGCCTCCCCAGGATGTCGCCGAGGCCCCGCTAAGGCCTGACCTCAGCCCCATGCGGCTCACCCGCTGCCAGGCCGCCCTGGCGGCCGCCATCACCGTCAACCTCCTGGTCCTCTTCTACGTCTCGTGGCTGCAGCAACAGCCCAGGAGCGCGCGGACCCGGGGCCCCCGCCGCGGAGCCGCCGCCGCCGCCGGCCCCCAGGTCACCGTCCTGGTGCGCGAGTTCGAGGCCTTCGACCACGCGGTGCCCGAGCTGGTGGACTCCTTCCTGCAGCAGGACCCGGCCCAGCCCGTGGTGGTGGCCGCGGACGCGCTGCCCTACCCGCCGCTGGCCCTGCCCCGCCTGCCCAACGTGCGCCTGGCGCTGCTGCAGCCCGCCCTGGACCGGCCCGCCGCCGCCTCGCGCCCCGAGACCTACGTGGCCACCGAGTTCGTGGCCTTGGTGCCCGACGGGGCGAGGGCCGAGAGCCCGGGCCGGCTGGAGCGCATGGCGGAGGCGCTGCGGGCCGAGGCGCTGCGGGCCGGGGGTGCCCGCCTGGTGGCCGCCCCGGTGGCCTCGGCCAACCCCGCGCGCTGCCTGGCGCTGAACGTCAGCCTGCGGGAGTGGACGGCGCGCTACGGGCCCGCGCCCCCCTCCGCGCCGCGCTGCGACGCCCTGGACGGCGACGCCGTGGTGCTCCTCCGGGCCCGCGACCTCTTCAACCTGTCGGCGCCGCTGGCCCGGCCCGTGGGCACCGGCCTCTTCCTGCAGGCGGCGCTGCGCGGCTGGGCGGTGCGGCTGCTGGACGTGACCTTCCCGGCGGCGCGCCAGCCCCCGCTCGCCACGGCGCACGCGCGCTGGAAGGCGGAGCGCGAGGGCCGCGCGCGGCGGGCGGCGCTGCTGCGGGCGCTGGGCGTCCGCCTGGTGAGCTGGGAGGCGGCGGCCGGGCCGGGGCCGGGGCCGGGGGCCGCCTCGAGTGGTTCGGCTGCGGCAAGGACACGCCGCGCTGCTTCGGGACGGTGGCGGGCGACACGCCGTCCTACCTGTACGAGGGCCGCTGGACGCCGCCCTGCTGCCTGCGCGCGCTGCGCGAGACGGCGCGCCACGTGGTGGGCGTGCTGGAGGCGGCGGGCGTGCGCTACTGGCTGGAGGGAGGCTCGCTGCTGGGCGCGGCCCGCCACGGCGACATCATCCCCTGGGACTACGACGTGGACCTGGGCATCTACCTGGAGGACGTGGGCAACTGCGAGCAGCTGCGGGGCGCCGAGGCGGGCTCCGTGGTGGACGAGCGCGGCTTCGTGTGGGAGAAGGCGGTGGAGGGCGACTTCTTCCGCGTGCAGTACAGCGAGACCAACCACCTGCACGTGGACCTGTGGCCCTTCTACCCGCGCGACGGCGTCATGACCAAGGACACGTGGCTGGACCACCGGCAGGACGTGGAGTTCCCCGAGCACTTCCTGCGGCCGCTCGTGCCCCTGCGCTTCGCCGGCTTCGTGGCGCAGGCGCCCAACAACTACCGCCGCTTCCTGGAGCTCAAGTTCGGCCCCGGCGTCATCGAGAACCCCGAGTACCCCAACCCGGCCCTCCTGAGCTTGGCGGGGAGCAGCTGAGGCCCCGGCTCCCCTGACACCCCCGCCCCCCACTCTGCTTTGATGACTCCCGGCATTTGGTGGACCGCGCTGCCCTGCAAGAGGCCTGGAGGACATCAGAGCCGTGCCCTGGGCCCCAGAGCTGGGACAGCTTTGGAAAGAGGAAGAGTGTAGGTTGTGAGGCCAGACCGTGGCGGTTCAAACCCTGTGTAGTGGCCCTGGGCCCGTGTCCCGGTTCCTCTGCTCCTCGGTTCCCTCCAGGATTCGGGGAGCACTCGCTGTCTCCGCACATAAAGAGCCCCCTGGACACTTGGCTGCTGGGGCTGCTTCTACCACTAGGGGGCGCCCGAGTCCTATCACCGGGCCCAGGACTTTGTGTTCATGGCTTTGGCGTCTGTTGAGCCGTTGGGCTTCTGAGCCTGGCCAGACAGAATAACCATCTCCCCTCCTTCCAGAATGCGACTCGCTTCCCTTCCGGGAGAGCCCTGCGGGGTGCATGCTGCCCTCAACCCCATCTGGAAGGAGGAAACAGGCTCAGAGCACTGAGGGGCGACTGGCTGTGGTTAAGGGTGGGGTTCTGGATCCGAGCCCCACTCCTTAACCGTTACCTCATTATTTGAACTTTCTGCACCTGTTTGCCTGCTCGCAGAGCAGGGAAACAGTAACCGTAACTCACATGTGTACGCACTGACTGTGTGTCAGGCATTGTTCTCGGCGTTGCACCGTGTTGCACGCGGATTAACTGATTCGTCCCTCTCCTCAGCCCTCCCAAGCGAGAGCTGCTTTGATTTTTCTCCTGGCGGACGAGGACACTGAGGCCAGAATGGTGAAGCCGCTTGGCAAAGGCCGGACAGCTTGGCAGGAGGCAGAGTGGGGCCTCGAACCCAGGCTGTCAGCCTGCAGCCCACCCTGAAGGCGCCCGTGTGCCCCGCTCGACTGCTGGTCCCCAAGAGGCCCCCTTGTCGCGTAGCAGGGACAGCGATGGCTGCCTGCCTTCGTGGCCATGCATCTGAGAGAAAATGCTTTTTGGGCATGCGATCCGGCATGTGCATTTATCCATGATATCAGGTGCTACTGCCATCCTGTATGTTAGTCATAAGGCTTAAATTATTTCATTTTCAAAATCAATAAAGAAGTTTTGTTGACTCGCCTCATCCCAACCACGTGGTCCGCACACCCTGTGGGTGTGTGCACCTGGCGTTTGAAACCACAGCCTCTGAAGTGGGAGAGTTTTGGGTTCAAACCCCAGCGCTGCGGCTTCCTCCCGCTGGGAACCAGGGCCTCCGAGACTGCCTCTCACCTCTGCTGGGCCCCTGGGGAATGGGGGCCCCACAGGGGTGCAGGGAGGCAGCTGATGGGTGAAAGGGTCAGGGGTCAGGGCTGGGTTTGGATCCTGGTGTGGCCAACAGCTGTCTCTGTGACCTTGGGCAAGTCCCTGCCCCCTGACCCTGTAGATCAGGGGAGCAGGGCCCTTAGGGAGGGAGGCTTCCCACACCAGCGAGAAGAGACAAATGGGAATGTGGCCAGCCTCCCAAGGCTCAGATGTCAACGCCTGGCTTCTTAGAACGCATCCTCTGTCTTTAGCCTCTCCACATACAAGCAGCTCACCAAGAGGCAGCTGGGTTCCCATCCACGGAACATTCTGGAAACGGGGTGGTGATTTGGCGGATACGTGTGGTTCGGCGGTGCTCTTGGCCCTTGGCAGGCACAGCACGGGTGGAGAGTCTTACACGCAGGGCACCTGCACACCGTGAAGCAATGTCCCTTGTCACGTACCGTCTTCAAATGTGTGTTTATGGGTTTTAGAGAGAAGAAGGGAGAGAGAAACATCCATCTGTGCTTCCATTTATTTATGCATTCACTGGTTGATTCGTTTATTTTTTATTTTTTACAGAGAGGAAGAGAGGGATAGAGAGTTAGAAACATCGATGAGAGAAAATCATCAATCAGCTGCCTCCTGCACACCCCCTACCGGGGATATGCCCGCAACCAAGGTACATGCCCTTGGCCGGAATCGAACCCGGGACCTTTCAGTCCCCAAGCCAACGCTCTATCCATTGAGCCAAACCAGTCTCGGCTGATTCATTTTTTTAAAAGATATATTTTGTTGTTGTTTTTTACAGAGAGAAAGGGACAGGGACAGAGAGTTAGAAATATCAATGAGAGAGAAACATCGATCAGTTGCCTCCTGCACCCCCCCACTGGGGATGTGCCTGCAACCAAGGCACATGCCCTTGACTGCAACTGAACCCGGGACCCTTCAGTCTGCAGGCCGATGCTCTGTCCACTGAGCCAAAACAGTCAGAGCTCACTGGTTGATTCTTGTACGTGCCCTGACCGGGTATCAAACCAGAAACGGTGTATTGGGATGACTTTTTTAAAATATATTTTATTGATTTTTCACAAAGGAAGCGAGAGAGGGATAGAGAGTTAGAAACATCGATGAGAGAGAGACATTGATCAGCTGCCTCCTGCACACTCCCTACTGGGGATGTGCCCGCAACCAACATACATGCCCTTGACCGGAATCGAACCCGGGACCCTTCAGTCCACAGGCAGCCGCTCTATCCACTGAGCCAAACCGGTTTCGGCTGGGATGACATTTTAACCAGCTAAGCTGCCTTGGCCAGAGTTCACATACTGTCCTCAAGTGTCCCTTGGACATTCATGAAGTGCAAGTGATGTTCAAAATATTTTGTAGCTAGTATGGTAATATGAATTTATGTATATATCAATATATGCATAATTTTTTGTTTTTATGTATTTATTTTTTTGATTGATTTTTTTTTTTTTTTTGAGGGAGAGATGAAGGGGGAGGAGAGAAACATCAGTTTGTTGCTCCACTTACTTGTGCATTCATTGGTTGGTTCCTGTGTGTGCCCTGACCAGGGATCGAACCCGTAAGCTTGATGTATCAGGGCAACATTCTAACCAACTAAGCTACCCAGTCAGAGTATGCATCAAGTTTTTAAATATTATTTTTTAATTCTCAGAATAATCATCAAAATGATCCATCCATAGGTTCACATTTATTTAAGTTATGTGCAAAGAACGTAAGTTGAAGTTCAACTCATTTTTAATTTATTTAATTTTATTTCATTTAGAACTTGGTGTGATTTCTTGATTGACACAGCTAAATATATGTATACTTATCAAACACACACACACACACACACACACATTACTATATATAATCTTGCCTTAGCCGTGATTTGGTAAGGGAATCCCATCAAATGCTTCTAGCAACATCCCATAAAATTGTAAGTCATTAGGTGACTTAAGATTTCAATAGATAAAAATTTCTCTTCGTATCAAACATAGTGTTTTTATGTTTTCACTGTTCCAGAACAGCAGTTACATTTAAAACTTTTCTGGCCCTTATAATACAGCCAACTAAGTAATTATATGGTAGAAAACCCAGCACAACAATGAACTTGAACTAATGATTGCTATTACAACTTGTCATTATTGCATTTTACTGATTCTCGATTGCTCTCACACCATTAATCAGCTAGAAGTATTTCAGTATTTTAACCAGCACATCATACTAGTGCAGACTAAGTAAATATTGGCCTTACTCGTAAAGCCTGGTTAATAATTCTCTGAGCCCAGAACCTGTCTCTTCCTGCAAACTCAAAGGTGCTTTCTGAATTTTCCAGGAAGTGCAGATCCATGTAAAACGAGGGAAACTTGTATCGTGTTTTGTTCAAAACTTGGCCAGAGATTGTCAACAGGTTCAGAAAAATCACATTAGACACCAAGACCACGTGTTGGGAGCTGCCTTCGCTGCAGGTGTAAACATCTGGCTGCCTCCGAGGGCTCCGGGGGGTGAGCATTCCCAATGGAAATGCATAGTATACATTTCTGCCCTTTTATTTCTCCTCTTTAAATTTTTATTTTTTACATTTCTTTGTTGATTAAGGTATTACATATGTGTCCTTATTCTCCCTTCAACCCCCCCCCCCATTTCTCCTTTCACTTAGACTTGGGGCCACGTGAGATTTTTTAAAATCGTGTGCAGGTGGGTTGGTTATATTATTATGAACTTCGTTTCAGGAGAGCCATTAGGACTTGCCCAGAGCTGACAGCCAAGCCGGCACATGCACGGTTGTGGCCAGGCCGGCGGTTTGAACACGAAAACATTCCGTTATGGATTATTAATCCACTGGCAGATGGCCACGGCCACGCGTCCCCTATGGTTCCCCTTCTGGCTCTCCCTGGCGCCTCCTGGACCGCCCCTGACCCGGCAGCCAAGGATTCCCACTGGGCACGGCGGGAGGGAAGGGGTGTGCGTCCCAGATGCTGCTGGAGGGGATAGTGGGGACTGCGTGCACTGCCCCGGGCATTGCAAAGTCTGTGCTCTGAAAAGTGGGTGGCGTGCAGAGACCTGTGACCCGATGCACCTTTATACACAACAGCCCCGACTGGAGCCACCCCACGTCCATTCACAGACAGCACAGTGCCAGGCGTCTTCAAACTACGGCCCTCGGGCCACATGCGGCCCGCAGAGGAGTCTGATCCGGCCCGCCAGGTTTTTTGGGCAGTGAGCGCAGCCGAGGTGTTACAGTAGGAATTAGTAGTTCATATAGTCCGGCCCTCCAGCTCTCTGAGGGACTGTGATCTGGCCCCCACTTTAAAAAGTTTGAGGACCCCTGCATGCATACTCCTCAGCAATGAAAATAAAGAGGATGGCCCTGGCTGGTGTGGCTCAGTGGATAGAGCATCAGCCTGCAGACTGAAGGGTCCCAGGTTCGATTCTGGCCTAGGGCATGTGCCAGGGTTGTGGGCTGGATCCCTGTTGGGGGTGTTGCAGGAGCCAGCCGATTGGTGATTCTCTCTCACCATTGATGTTTCTATCTCTCTCTCTACCTCTTCCTTCCTCTCTGAAATCAATAAGTATATTAAAAAAAAAAAAAAAAAGAAAGGATGAACCGCTGATCCCACGCAAAAACAGCTAAATCTCAAAAGCATCATGCTAGCTGAAACCGCTTTGGCTCAGTGGATAGAGCGTCGTCCTGAAAAGTCCCAGGTTCGATTCCAGTCAAGGGCATGTACCTTGGTTGCAGGCACATCCCCAGGAGGGGGTGTGCAAGAGGCAGCTGATGGATGTTTCTAACTCTCTAACCCTCTCCCTCTCTGTGAAAAATCAATTGGGGAAAAAAAAAAAAAAAAAAAAAAAAGCATCATGCTAAGTAAAAGAAGCCAGACGCAAAAAGCCACCTGCGGGAGTGCACTGTGAAACACTGATCCTCGGTGACCCGGATCAGTGGCTGCCGGGGCCTGGGGCGGAGGCGGGTAAGACTGCAAAGGGGCACGGGGAGGTGTGGGGCTGTGATGTATCTTGGTGGTGGTGGATTTTCACCCATGCATACATCTGTCAAACCTCATCCCATTGCCTGCTTGCATGGATGCCGTTTATTGTATGTAACTTACACCTCAACAAGGTTGACCCACAAAAAGGGGGAGGAAGGGAGGGGGAGAGGACAACAGGCCTGGAAGCATGGATCTGTGGCCAGGAGAGAACAAGCTGGGCCGCTTCCCGGTGCTGCCTGAGCCCCGGGAAGCCACTCCGAGTCTGGAGTCCAGGCCCACGCTCTATCCAGGCCAGTCCGAGCCCTCCCTCCGAAGCCAGGCTCCTGGGTCGGAGCAAGAGGGCTGCCCCAGCCCCTGGCCAGGTGGCTCCGTTGGTTGGAGTGTGGTGCCCATATGCCAAGGTTGTGGGACTGATCCCTGGTCAGGGCACATGCAAGAATCAACCAATGAATGCATGAATATGTAGAACAACAAATCGACGTTTCTCTAAAATAATTTTTAAATATATTTTTTATTATTGATTTCAGAGAGGAAGAGAGAGGAAGAGATAGAAACATCAACAATGGGAGAGTCATCATCAGCTGCCTCCTGTACTCCCCACACTGGGAATCGAGCCTGCAACCCGGGGAGTGTGCCTTGACCGGGAATTGAACCGTGACCTCCTGGTTCATAGGTCGATGCTCAACCACTGAGCACACCAGCCGGGCTCTCTTGGGCAATGGGAACAGGGAGAGGGAGGTGAGTCTGGCCTAGGGAGTGGCCTCAAGGTGCTTTTTCTCCTCTTATGCAACCTTCACCTTGGGGTGTGGCATAACAGCCATTGTCACCAGAGGGAAACGCAGCCCTGAGTGCCCGAGGTCCCACAGGGATCCGGACCAGCCTCTTGTAGCCAGGCAGCTCTGTAGCTGGGGCCCAGCTCCCTCATCCTGCAGACTGACTGAGTGCCCGCTATGCACCAGGGCCTGTGCTCTGGCAGACAGCAGGGAACAGGCCCGAGGCCCCGCCCTCCTGGAGCACACAAGCCAGGGGGACCCAGGCTGAAAGCCGCTTAAGCCCGTCTACACCCAAGAGGCTTGAGATGGTTTCAGTCTTCCTACATGATCTTAGATTATCGTTTTAGGCAAAGTAGTGGCATGTACTCAGGTCACTTTAAAAATGGAACAGAGGCCGAAACCGGTTTGGCTCAGTGGATAGAGCGTCTGCCTGTGGATTGAAAGGTCCCAGGTTCGATTCCGGTCAAGGACGCGTACCTTGGTTGCGGGCACATCCCCTGTGGGGGGCATGCGGGAGGCAGCTGATCGATGTTTCTAACTCTCTATTTCTCTCCCTTCCTCTCTGTAAAAAATCAATAAAATATATATATATATATTTAAAAATAGAACAGAAAAAGGTGGCTGAAGCAGTTTGCTGGAACTTGGTCATTATATACCCTTTGAACACACATACATTGTGCATGTAGATAGTATATTAAATATATTGCATATTTAGGTATGTACCTCTTTAAACAGGCATCCCACATAATGTAAACTTAACCCATCCTCCAAAAAACATTAAGTAGGAAACGTGAAGGTAAACAACAATTCTGAGCAGGGAAAATAATGCACTCACTCCCGGCTTCCTCCAAAAACGCCACCACATTTCCCCAAATATTGTTAAAACACTCTTAAATATTTCTGTAACAACCCACCAAGCATTAAAAAAACAAGACAACCAATTACTTAACTACTCCACACTTAGTACACTCATTAGCTGGCCCTGTTTGTATGCAATCTACAAGTGTGCACAGAATCACGAGGAAATGGGGGAAGGAAAGATGCTAATGATAGTCCAGCGATAGCACTGGGGCGGTGCTGCCTGCAGGCCCTGTTAACATCGGAATGTGTAACACGCTCCCGGTGACACACAGACCGGATCCTGTCGGAACAGGTGAGCTGCAGCTGATGCCGTCCACATCCGGGACTCAGACAGGACTCGCCAGTTAACTGCCACGTGTACAGAATGGAAACCACGCCCTCTAGCCATCTGGCTCGGCGGATAGAGCGTTGGCCTGCGGACTGAATGGTCCCGGGCTTGATTCTGGTGAAGGGCACATGCCTAGGTTGCGGTCTTGATCCCCAGTGGGGGGCTTGCAGGAGGCAGCCAATCAATGATTCTCATGATTGATGTTTCTCTCTCCCCCTTCCTCTCTGAAATCAATAAAAATATATTTTTTTAAAAAAACAAAAACCATGCCCACACACCACGGTATTTTGAATTTTATAATATCCAAATACTCTGCAATGGATATTATAAAAATAAATATATTACTCACAATTCGGGTGTTCTTGAATATTCTCAGCTGAAAATTCTCCCCCAAAAAAAGTGATTAAAAAAGTTGGTCGGGGCTGCCACTCAGGGAAGATATTTTTTTAAGGAGGCGCATGGCACCTGGGGAAGGTCCGCTGCTTGCGTCTACAGGTGCTTGTGGCGTACAATGAGGCTGATATTATAGTTGCACAGCAGGTTTTTTTTATTTAAATAACAAATTTGGGGTTAAAGGAGCAAATCACCATTGGGACTATCTGCGGTGGGAGTTCGGATATCGAGGGATACCGCCTTCTTATGGAAGGGATCACAGCGGCAGGTGAGACACAATCTTTAACGGGAAGACCATCTACATAGGAAACATGCGTACAACGTACGTGTACGGGTTCACTCACTTTTCCCAGCATTCCCCTCTGTGTAAGCATCACCCGTATCAAGACATGTCACACTAGCCAGAACCGGTTTGGCTCGGGGTAGAGCATTGGCCTGTGGACGGAAAGGTCCCAGGTTCGATTACGGTCAAGGGCATGTACCTTGGTTGCGGGCACATCCTCAGTGGGGGGGGAGGGTGGTGCAGGAGGCAGCTGATATTTCTCTCTCATTGATGTTTCTGACTCTATCCCTCTCCCTTCCTCTCTGTAAAAAAAAAAATCAATAAAATATATTTAAAAAAAAAGACATGTCACATTGGCTGTACCCTTGCTCCCTCTCCCAGTCCACCAGCACTCGGAAGACCACCACCGCTGTTTCTCTATCCTGTCCGAGGCCTTCATGTACCATAGAGTATGTACCATTTCTGGCTTCTTTCACTCTGCATATTATCTGTGAGATGCACCCACACTGAGTACAGTGGACCTTGAACAACAGAGGTATTAGGGGCCCCAATCACCCTTAAGTCAAACTTGATTTTCCCAGAGCGTAAGTGGTCCCTCAGCATCCACAGAGGACTGGTTCCAGGCGCCCTCGGATACGGAAATCCAGGGACACTCCAGTCCCCTGCGTATATGACACAGATCAATGCATCCCGACTCCCACCAGATCGAAACAATGCAGGTATTTTGTTTTTTTAAATCTAGGTATAAGTGGACCTTCGCCATTCAGACCCGTGTTTTTCAAGTGCCAACTGTGTACCAGTACTTGCTTTTTTTTTTTTTTTTTTTGCCAAGTAGCCTTCAAGCGCATAGTGATAATTGTACCAGTTTATCTGAGCGACTTCCTCCTGAATTTTGGCAATTATAAAGACAGCAGCTACAAACATGTGTACCCTGGTTTTTCGTGTGAGCAGAAGTTTTCATTTCTCTTGGGTAAATTCCCAGCAACGGGGTTCCTGAGCCGTATGGTGTGCGTGTGTTTCATTTTGATAAGATTGCCTTCACCGCCCTGGCCACGTAGCTCAGCTGGTGAAAGGGTTGTCCCGATAGACCAAGGCTGTGGGTTTGATCCCCTGGCCAGGGCACAAATAAGAATCAACCAATGGCCCCAGCCGGTTCGGCTCAGTGGATAGTGCATTGGACTGAGGACTGAAGGGTCACAGGTTCGATTCCAGTCAAGGGCACATGCCCAGGTTGCAGGCTCCATCCCCAGTTAGGGGTGGGCAGGAGGCAGCCAAGCAATGATTCTCATCATTGATATTTCTATCTCTCCCTTTCTCTCTGAAATCAATAAAAATATATTTAAAAAGAGCTGGGACAGGTTTGGCTCAGTGGATAGAGGGTCGGTTTGGGGACTGAAGCGTCCCAGGTTCGATTCCGGTCAAGGGCAGGTACCTTGGTTGCAGACACATCCCCAGTAGGGGGCGTGCAAGAGGCAGCTGATTGATGACTCTCATCAATGTTTCTAACTATCTCTCTCCCTTCCTCTCTGTACAAAATCAATAAAATATATCTTAAAAATATATATATTTAAAAAGAAAAGAATCTACCAATGGATGCATACATAAGTGGAACAACAAATCGATGTTTCTCTCCCTCTCCGAAAATAAAGAAAAGGCTGCCTGGCCACTTTCCAAAGTGACTGGACCGTTCTGCATTGCCACCCAGAATGCATGGGCTCTGCCCAGCTGTGCCACACGTCCGACAGGACGAGGTGCGTGTTTGTTGCCATCCCGGTAGGCGTGCATGGCATCTCCTGGTAGCTGCCCGTGGTGTTGATGGACAGATATTTCCAGGAAGTCCAACTTATCCTGTGTGGCTAGTGCTTCTAGTCAAATTCTTTTTTAAAATAAATATATTTATTGATCAGCTGCCTCCTGCACACTCCCTGCTGGGGATGTGCCTGCAACCAAGGTATGTGCCCTTGACTGGAATGGAACCTGGGACCCTTCAGTCCGAAGGCTGACGCTCTATCCACGGAGCCAAACTGGTTAGGACTCTAGTAAATTCTTAAAAACATCTGATTAGATATACTTGACAATTTTTTAAAAAAAAATTTTTTGTTAATCCTCACCCAAGGATATATTTTCCATTGATTTTTAGAGAGTGGAAGGGAGGGGGAGAGACAGGGAGAAACATCTATTGGTTGCCTCCTGAATGCGACTGAGGTATGTGGCCTTGACCGGGATCGAACCTGAGACCCTCCAGTCCATGGGCTGACGCTCTAATCACTGAGCAGAACTGGTTAGGGCTTGGCAATGTTATTGCTAGAAAATGTCCTCTCACCCTAACCGGTGTGGCTCAGTGGATAGAGCGTCGGCCTGCGGACTGAAGGATCCCAGGTTCGATTCCGGTCAAGGGCATGTACCTTGGTTGCGGGCATACAGGAAGCAGCTGATCGATGTTTCTCTCTCATCGATGTTTCTAACACTATCCCTCTCCCTTCCTCTCTGTAAAAAGTCAATAAAAAAAAAAAAATATATATATATATATATATATATATATATATATATATTTTAATGTCCTCTGGAGTGATAGCAGTGTTTGTCCTCAGTCTCTCCCTACCCAGAGCTCCTGGGACATGGGGGAACGTACCATGGAGTCACAGCACCCACACACTCCCCCACCCAGACCCCCACCCCACCCCCACCCCAATAGCCAGCCAAGGAGCCAGCACGTGTGGGAACATCCCATCCAGGAGGCCACAGTTCCCCGTGCGGCCTGCCCTGAGATGGGGGCCAGGCAGACTCCCAGGATGAGCGTGGAGGCCGCCACGTCTCCATCTGCTGTTTCATAGCCTTGCGGGGGGCCAGGTGCTGAGATCAGGGAGGTTTGGGGAGACGGTCACACCCCCCCACACACACACACACACACACACGTGCCCTAGCAGCAAAGCCTCACGGATCGGGGGTTGGGGCGGGAGGCCAGGCTCCCGGCTCCGGAGTGTGTGGCAGGGCCGGCCACCTCGGGCGGTCGGAGTGTCCAGAGTGCCCCGTCCGCAGGGAGGTCCCCGCGGGGCTTACATGACCGACTCCTCCGGGCGGCCGGTGGCCGCGGCGGGCCTCGTGAGGAGCGGGTTTCCCTCCTCCAGGGGGACGGGCGTGGGGTCCACACACGCCTTCACCTCCACCAGCTGGGGCACCGAGCTCGCGGGCTTGGTCCGGTCCACGTAGTGCTGGAGGAGTCCCGCCCCGAAGGCGTCCCCTTCCACGTTGAGGACGGTGCAGGACCGGTCCCTGAAGGGGTGGCGCGGCAGGGGCGTGAGTGAGGGCTGGGGTCCAGGCCCAGCTCTGCCCCCCCCCCTCCTCCCGGGAATCATGAGGTCTCCTACACAGACCGCCCTACACAGAACCCTATTCTACAGCCCTGGGCCTCCCGCCCTCCATCCTCCGAGGATGCCGAGTATCCCTCCTCCGGGAGCCTCAGAGCTCCGCCCCTGCCCCCCGGAAGGCCAGGGTGTCCCATCCTGTGTCCTCGGCCTCTGAACCCCGAAGGCCGGCTCCTCCGTGGGTCCTTCTTCCACTAAAACAGGATTTGTTCCTTCCGGAACCTCAGAGTCGCCCCTCCTTTTCTTGGGTCCCCGGGAGGGCCTCCACCCCCACCTCTCCTCTTCCGCTGAAACACCGAGTCCCCTCTTCAGGCCTTTCTCCTCCTCAGGATCCTAAGGGGTTTTTTTTTTTCTTTCCTTTTTTCAGTTCTCTTGGGGTATAAACCTAGGAGTGATGTTGCTTAAGTGTATGTGACTGTGTGCACACTGAGTGGCACAGATGATGAGGATCTCTGAACGCATAATAATCCGGCCACTCAGTGTATGTCCTATATAATAAAAGGCTAATATGCAAATGGTCCCCTTGACCAGGATTTTGACCAGCAGGCAGGCCGGCCAACCGCCTATGTCCCCTCCCCCTGGTCAGGCTGGCTGGACCCCACCCATGCATGAATTCATGAACCGGGCCACATATATATATCTCAAGTGGCCAGATTATTATGCGTTCAGAGATCATAATAATCTGGCTACTCAGTGTATGTGACACTTTAGAAAATGTAGCTACAATTCACACACCATAAAATCACCCATTGAAAGTGTTCAGCCCAGCCCCTCTTCTGCCCATGGCCCTCTTCCTCATCCCCTTTCCCAGGAGTCCCCGGAGCCCCACCCCCCTGAACCCCCAAACACACACTCACACTAGCCAGTCCACAGCCAGGATCAAGGAGATATCAACCGGCAGGTTGATGGCCTCCAGGATGATGGCGAGGGTGAGGACGCCTCCCGCGGGGATGCCCGCGGCGCCCACGCTGGATGCCGTGGCGGTGACCCTGGGGGCAGAGGGGCGGTCAGGGAGGGGCCCCATGTCCGCAGGGGGGGGGCCCCGGGTGGCCAGCCCACACTCACAGGATGGTGATGATCTTCACCAAGTCCAGGGGCTGCTGGTTGAACTGGGCAATGTACACGGCGGCCACGCACTGGAAGAGCGCGGCTCCATCCATGTTGACCGTGGCGCCGATGGGCAGGATGAAGCGGCAGATGTGCTTGGAGACGCCATTCTTCTCCTCCACGCACTTCATCATCAGCTGTAACGTGGCCGAGCTGCGAGAGACCAGACCAGGCAGATCTGAGTCATTGCACCCAGGCCCCGCCCACCCAGGAAGCCCCGCCCACACGCCGCCCGTTCCTGGCCCAAACCACGCCCACCAGACATGGACCCGCCCACCACCAAACCACGCCCACCCGCTGCCTCCACCCTCTTCCCTGCCTCCTCCCACAGCCTTTCCAGCAATGGGAGCCCTTCCCTTCCCAGGGCCAGAAGGTACTAGGGATGGTGTAGACCAGTGGTCGGCAAACTCATCAGTCCACAGAGCCAAATAGCAACAGCACAACTACTGAAATGTCTTTGGAGAGCCACATTTTTTAAACCTAAACTTCTTCTAGTGCCACTTCTTCAGCATAGACTCGCCCAGGCCGCGGTCTTTTGTGTAAGAGCCACACTCATGGGGCCAGAGAGCCCCACGTGGCTCGCGAGCCGCAGTTTGCCGACCACTGGTGTAGGCTGAAGCTATTCCAACGTGTGGGCATCCTCAAAGTCCACACAAAAACTCACTCCTAAATCCTATGGCTCGGAGCTCACGGACTCACACCTGCAGCCTCCGCCGAGGATGGGCCTCGGCTAAGAATTACTAACTCTCTCTCGCCGAAACCGGTTTGGCTCAGTGGATAGAGCGTCGGCCTGCGGACTGAAGGGTCCCGGGTTCAATTCTGGTCAAGGGCATGGACCATGGTTGCGGGCACATCCCAAGTAGGGGGTGTGCAGGAGGCAGCTGGTTGATGATTCTCTCTCATCGATGTTTCTCACTCTCTATCCCTCTCTCTTCCTCTCTGTAAAAAAAAAAATCAATAAAATATTTTTTAAAAAGAAAAATTACTCTCTTGAGGGTGCCACTGCAAGAGGCACAGGCTCGGCTGAGAAGGTGGGAAGAGCTCCCGGAGGTTGGATCCGGAGTGGAGCACTCATGCCCGAGGGCCAGGCCTGGCGGGAAGGGAGGAGGGAAGGGAGGAGGGAATCTCCAAGGCAGCAGTTTCCTAATTTTAGGGGGGCGGGGGGGGGGGGGCTGGGATTCGAGACCTTAGGAGAAACTTGGGAAAGTCCACCCCCTGGGCCCAGACCCCCATGTCCCCCCACACAGAAGTTCAGGGGCCTTCAGACACGCGACGCCTGCTCGCTGCAGGGCCCTCGGCGGCAGACTGCCCCGCGGTCACACCTGGAGGCGGTCCCGAAGGCGGTGACCAGCGGCGCGGTGATGCCCCACAGGAAGCGGTAGGGGTTCTTGCGGGTGAAGAGGAAGTAGATGAGCGGCAGCACCAGGAGCCCATGGATGGCGTGGCCCAGCAGGCAGCACAGGACGTATTTGCCCACTCTGGCGAAGAGGTCCCCCACGTCCTCCCGCTCCGCGATCTTGCTGGCCACCAGGGACAAGATGCCCACGGGGGAGTACCTGGCACCCAGGAGACAGAGGCAGCCTCTGAGCACGAGCCCACTCGGGGCCAGGCGGTGTGCCTCATGCAGCCCGGCCACCGCCCCCCTCGGAGCCAGGAGGCGCCCGGCACCTCCCTTGCCCGCCTCGTGCCCTCTCCCCTGGAAGACAGCGTAGCCGGGAGATAAAAGCAGCCGGGCCGCTTCCCCCGCCACTGGGGAGTAAGAGTCACCAACCAGAGAGAAGCATGCACCATGCGTGAGTCATTTACGATGTCCGGGTTCCTTTATGATGGCAGCTCGCATGATTTAAAACCAATGTAAGCCGGGACGGGTTTGGCTCAATGGATAGAGCGTCGGCTTGGGGACTGAAGGGTCCCGGGTTCGATTCCGGTCAGGGGCATGTACCTTGGTTGCGGGCATATCCCCAGTAGGGGGTGTGCAAGGGGCAGCTGATCAATGACTCTCTCTCATCAATGTTTCTAACTCTCTATCTCTCTCCCTTCCTCTCTGTACAAAATCAATAAAATATATTTTAAAAAAAATAAAACCAATGTAAATCTCTCACCACATCATGAGAAATGAAAAGACCACGGCTCACGTCTTAATCACAGCTCCAAGGCATGGAGCGTGTGCCACGTGCTGAGCCCCTGAGCGTGACTGAATCTTCCCCACCTCTCTAGAACGTTCTACCACATCCCCTCTTGACCTGGGAGCCCCTTCCTCGAGTCTCTTGCAGCTACCATGGCATGAACAGAACGTAACCGGTCCGTAAAGCAGGAGCGATAACGCTCCCAACCTCGTAAGAATGCCGGGAGGACGAAAGGAGATGCCGGGTGACACGAGCTGGATGCTTTTCAATAATTCATCGATAAACGTTAGCACCCTCTCCCGGAATGAAGATCCCTCCGGGTGCTTGTGCCTCCCAGCCAGGAGGCCTCCGGGATTGCCTCTGGGGCTGCCTGATCGCTGTTACTCCCAGGTGTTGTCTCCCAACCCCTTTTCCTCGTTAGTACAGAGAAGAAGGGCGCCGTTTCCCAGCAACGTGTGCACCTGGGTTTGGCCACATGCCCACGTTCTGGCCAGTGGGCCGTGCCAAGAAATTATACGAGCCAAGTACACTGGGTAAATATTAGCTAACATTGTTTTCTGCAAGCCTGCCATAGGCCAGGCACGGTCCCAAGCACCTTCCACGTATTAACTGTGTGTGTGTGTGTGTTAACTTTTTGTGCCTGCTCCGCTCAGCCCCGTTTTCCAGGTAGGGGGAAAATGCTGGATTTGAGTCCAGGCCTTCCAGCTCTAAGAAGGGCACAGGCCGCCCGATCCTATACCCCCCACGCCCCCCCCCCCAAAACCTACCACATGATCCAGGACACCAGCACCATGGTGGCGTCGTTGA